TGCTAGATTCGGTAGTCACCCAAATATCCTAGTACCATATGTCTATGTGGCTTATGAACAAAACTTTTATTGAGCGCCTCGACAAACATAGACGAAAGTTCTTTTGGCAAGGGTGCAATAAGAAGAGGAGGTATCATCTTGTTAGATGGAACAGGATCTGCAGATCCAGAGATAAAGGTGGTTTGGGGGTTAAGGACCTCCACAAATAGAATGTTAGTTTGATGGTCAAATGGTGGTGGAAACTAAAGACCCAAACGGGGATGTGGCAAGATATTGTTCGTGCATGCTACCTGACAAACAAATCTGTGGCCTCGGTTAAGCCCAGATTTTCCGATTCCCCTTGTTGGAAAGCCTTACTAAAAGTAAAAGATATTTACTTAGTTGGCAGGAAGATCCATCTAGAATCTGGTGACCTGTCAGAATCTGGAAAGATTCCGTAAAGGGGCTAAGTCCTTTTCAGACTCTATATCCATTGCTCTTTGAGATATGTAACGATCAGAATTGCACCGTTGATAGGTTCAATTCTGTGGACATCCACACCTTCTTCAAAAGGAGGCTCACGCCTGAGTTATTCTGTCAATGGGAAAAATGAGTAATACGATCAATAGCATTCAGCTGAGTCAGGGTGGGGACTGGGTCTACCGGGGGCTTAATAGTAATGGTAAATTCTCTATTAGGGGGGTGTTTGTTTCCAGGGACTTTTTTGTGTAGGGACTAGAAAAAGTCCCTCTTCGAGACTTTTTTACCAAACGGGAGAGACTTTTTAGGGACTAAACTAGGCATTTGAGACTAAATGAAGAAGACTCTCAAGGAAAGTCTTTCTGGGACTTTTTGAGACTTTTCCAACAATGCCCCTCCATGCACCCATTGGTCCGCCACCCCATGATGTTGTTTCATTGTTATTTTTCTATATACTAGGGGCAACATGGTCATTTAATAACCTCTAGGAAGGGACTAGGAACTTTTTAGTCTCTGGAAACAAACAGGGAGGGACTTTTTAGAAACTAGAGACTTTTTAGTTGGGACTAGAAAAAGTCCTAAGACTAGAGAACCAAACACCACCTAAATCTGTATATAAGTGGTTAGAGAGCCCTCTTAGTGGATGCCATTATAGATGGATTTGGAAAGCCAAAATCCCACTCAAAATCAAGATTTTTCTGTGGCAGTTGTCCCAGGATGTAGTGCTCACTAGGCAAGTCATGAGAACGAGGAAATGGCCTGGGAATCCCACATGCTCTTTTTGTAATGAGTTGGAAACCTCCCAACATCTGTTCTTCACCTGTCCTGTGGCCAGGGTGGTCTGGAGATGCGTTGGGGTGGTGCTGGGTACTGAGATGTGCCCGAATAGCTACTGGCAATATTTTGCTTGGTGTCATGCTTTTTTCCCCGATGGACAAAAGTACTATACTGTGGGCCTGGCTGCTGCTTGCTGGGCCATTTGGCTAGCTCGGAATCGAGCTACATTCGAAAAGAAGCTAATCAAAACGCCCTTTGAGATAGTTTTCTCCATGTGTTCTTTTCTGTTGTATTGGGCAGGGCTCAAGCAGGAGGAAGGCGTCAAGGAGCTGCAAGGCGGTGCTGAGATGATCAGGTCGAGCCCGATGCGCTTTGATGGTGATGTGCAACGCTGCAAGAGTGCTGATCGGGGAAGAATAAAAATATGCAAGACGTCCGATGGCTGGAGCTGGGTGATCCTGTGATGGTGTTCTGGTTCTTTTTTGGGTGTCTCATGTCCTTGTATGTAGTAGTCCAGATGTATGTTGTGATATTTTGGTGCTCCCCAGGTTTTCGCCCCATGGCATTCGTTTCGATGGCGGGCAAATGCAGTGGATTTCCTGGCAGTGCCCGGACTCGCTCTACCTCTTTCCCTCTTCTCCTGACATGTTTCTGAACCTTTGTATTTCCGTTCATTTGCAATGGAAAGGGGTATAGCCCGGTTCGAAAAAAAAATCTGCCTGGTTTTGTACTTGTGCAATCAGATCAGTTGCCCTGTGAGGCTCCGACCCTATCTCTGATGGCATAAGATATGATTCCCTTCTCTTTCTTCTTTAATTAATTTCTCATTGTAATCAACGGAACTTTGGTTGTCTTCGCATGGGTGCACATCAATTATCTACTCACGCACATATAATAATTCAGGTTACAGCCAGCACCTGGAAAGCTTGTAGGTTCCAAACCATTCCTCTCTGCGCCATGGGCAACAACAATTCAACTTCTTCAGTTAGCAAGCCCATACCCGAGACATCGTCGAGGTGCCTGACGGAGTGCGCCACCGCCGCCCACAACTTCGAGGTGACGAGGTACTCGCTGCTCGAGGGCATGGGAGTCGGCAAGTTCGTTAGCTCGAGCACATTCAGCGTCGGCAGCTATGGCTGGGACATCAGGATCTACCCTGATGGATGGGAGGAGGAGGACAAAGCCGCCTACATGTCAGTCTTCTTGTGTTTCTGCAGTGGAGCAACAACGGCTGTGAAGGTGAGGTACACTTTCAGCTTACTGGGGAAAGATGGAAAAATTACTACTAATCTAGAGGGCGGAACACATACCTTTCGGTCGGTAGGTACTATACGGGGCTGGCCCAGGTTTACCGACAAGTGCGAGCTCAAGGAATTGCTACTCCGTGATGATGACTGCTTCACCATCAGGTGTGTTTTGACCGTCATAAAAGAGCCTCGCACGGAAGATTTAAGCACAACTGAAGTCTCAGTTCCACAGTCAGACCTGCACACACACTTTGCTAACATGTTGAAGGATGGGCTAGGTGTGGATGTGACATTCAGCGTCGGCGGTCAACTCTTCACTGCACATAGATGCGTGTTAGCTGCACGATCCTCGGTTTTCAAGGCTGAGCTCTTTGGTCCAATGAAGGAGTCCACCATGAAGTGCATCAAGATCGATGACATGGAGCCTTCTGTCTTCGAGGCACTTCTTCACTTCATATACACAGATTCTCTGCCAAGTGACTTGGATCAGGATCAGAATGTGGAATTGCAGCACCTGTTGGTTGCCGCAGATCGGTATGGACTAGAGAGGCTAAAGGCTATGTGTCAAGGGAAGCTATGCCAGAAAATTGATGTGCAAACAGTTGCAACCACCCTTGCTTTAGCGGAGCAGCACCACGCCGCGCAACTCAAGAATGCTTGTCTCAGATACCTTTCTTCACAGGAGGTGCTTCGAGCTGTCAAGGAGACTGATGGATTCAAGCACCTCACAGCAAGCTGCCCGTGGATTATGGACATTTTAGAGAAGGTTGCGCCACCGTCAGGAGTATGAGCAGTCAGGCTCTGGCTTTTTGTTTGAAGTTTGGAGTTCAAGTTGTACTGTATCAATTATTGTCATGTGTACTGGCGTGTCCATTGCAAAACTGAACTTCTCTTCGAAAATGTGTAGTTTGTGCTCTGACAATAGCGCTAAAAGTTTTAAGTAAATTCACATGGTTGTTTGTTTCTTTTTGACTTGTTCTCTATATCCCTTATTTTGGCAGTGAACTTTCATGCAGAACCAAAGGGCACTAGGTTTACATGCTGATATGGATATATAATGGGCTGGAGCTCTGAACCCGACCTTATCTGCTGTACCACAGTGCCTTCCACTTCTGGATATCCCAAGTTACCTCTGTCTGGGGTTGTACTTGTGCACTCAGTCAGATCAGATGAACGTTTAAATGGCTTTGCACATTTAGGCCGTGTGGGACTCCTGTTTTGGACACAACAGGCCACAGCTGCTTTTCCATTCCACATTGTTCATTATTGCTGGGATGGAAAGAGCAAAAGTTAGATTCATCTACTTCAGCTCAGCTAAATATAGTACAGCTCAAGATACAATTTAACAGAAAACCTTGAACTTCTAGTTACCCTGTCATTGGCATTGAACTGGGAACGCTTAGTCTGGTGTTGACGGAACTACTGGTCATTATGGCCATGCTCTGTGGATTTATAACCATATTCTCCGAAGGCCCTCTCATACATGCTCTCTTTCCCCAATCTCGTATCACACAAATCTTACTGCTCTGTCCCCTAAAAAACGATGGCCGCAGTTTACTTGTAATCAACCACAGGAACTGGTCCCTGGTTCAAAAAACAAAGATAACCAGTGAATACCATGGATAATTGGTAGCTTATTGCAGGCATAAATCAAAAACAAAGAAAAAAGCTCCCTAAGGTATAGCAAAGCACTTACCAGTAATTTGTTGTTAAATCTTTCCATTTCTGTTTCTAACAACTTAGCGGCTTCATCCATCCCATGCGCCATATATGCCTGAATCATGGTGGTATAAATTACCTTGTCTGGCTTACATTTCTTTTCCTTCATTAGCACTAGCATTTCCTCCATTATTTCGATATCTCCAGACTTGGCGTATGCACTGATAACACAGTTGAAAAAAGGAGTATCTAAGACGACATCGGTGTTCTCCGTCTGTCGAATAATTGCAGGAACCATATCAAGGAGCCCAGCTTTACTGTATCCATTAACCAGGGAGCAGTATGTGATGGGGTTGGGTTTGACGCCCTGAATTTTCATCAGCCTGAAATAGTACTCCATCTTCTCAATGTTGCCAGCCCTTCCAAAACAATCTATGATTATGTTGAATGTAGCAGCAGAGGGTGAGAAGAAACGCCGCTTCATGTATTTCAGGATCGACAACATTTTGTCAGGCATGTTAGCCTTGCCATAAGACTTCATCATGATATTGAACGTCCGCGTATCTGGCTCAACGCCCATCAACTGAAACTCATCGTACCACTTCTCCATGTCATCCACCCTGCCACGGTTGCCATAAGCCCAGATGATGGAGTTCATCGTGTATATGTCCGGCACATTGTCCCCGTCTTGAAGCATGTTGGACAGCGCATCGTCCATCTCCTCTAGCATGCCGGCCTTGCCGTATCCATCAATTATCCCATTGTGGATGACAACGTTGCATCCAATCCCCAGATAAGACATCTCGTCGAGGACGGTGGGGATCAGGTCGAAGCGGCGTGACTTACAACAGCAGTTGATGAGGACGGAGAAGGTGTACTCGTCCGGCTTGCAGTCTGTATCAGCGCCTTTCATCAGACCGACCGTGGCCATCGCCTCGTCCAGCAGGCCGCTGTAGCCGTAGGCGCCAACGAGCGCCGTGTACACGTCCACCGTCGGCGCGAGCTGCTTCTCCGAGAGCATCACCTTGAAGAGGGCCGTGGCTGGGCCGGGCTGCCGGCACCTGCCGAGCATCATCAGCAGCCTGGCGTAGGTCTGCGTCCTCGGCTCGTACCACCGCTGCTTCCGCAGCAGCTCGAAGATCTGAGAAACAGCAATCCTTACGTGATGAGCAACAGTCGAACAGGTAGCGTGCAGCGGCAGGACCATCGGAGAGAAAGGGGTTGAGGGGGGAGCGGACCTCGAGGGCGGACTCCCAGCGGGAGGAGGCGACGGCGGAGTCGAGGGCCTCGAGGACGGCACGGGGCCAGAGGCGGGTGGAGTGCTGGCTGGTGCCCGCGGCGGCCTTGCGGGGGACGCCGGAGACGGCGGCCTCCCTGCGGAGGATGCGGGCGAGCGCCTCGTCCGGCTGCTCGGCCTCGGGGGGCGCGGACGAGGGCGGCCTGCGGCCGCGCTGGGCCATGGCGACGAACGGCGCGCGCAGAGGCGGGGACGCGGTGGCGGTGGTGGCGGCGCAGCGCGCCGGCGAGTGCATGGTGCCGTGGAGTGGCGCGAGACGGAGGAGATAAGGTGCCGAGCGGCAGGCGGCAAAGCAACTGAGCGAAACTGCTCCCATCCCATCCCATTACCGTTGGATGGCTTCAACTGTTTGGAACCCCAATTTTCCCCCAGAATTTTTTTATGTAGAAACTCGACTTTTCTCTGAAATTTCCAGCAAAACTACATAAATCTCCGATTTGGACAGAGCTACAAGCTGTTGTGGCTGACCGCAAACAAAACTTGTACTCCCTCCGTAGGTCACTAAAGTAATGATTTAAGCGCTCTTATATTTTTTTATGGAGCAAGTACATGCAAACGAAAACCATCATATTTTGGGTATAACGAACATCGTATTATCAACTGGAATACATGGATCATGACAACAAAGAAACTCCATCTTAAAAGTCAGATGTCTGTCAGGTGGAAAAATATGAGGATTCACTGTCATAGTTCGCTAAGAGATGTAACCTCGCACAATATCTATGTGGGTTCGACATCACTTAAAAAAGCTCGATCCATGGATGAAGAACTAAATATATTCGTCTCAAATACAGAAGGTGTGGACATGAAAAAGCATGATTATACCATTTGGCATTGAGCTTCCCTCCCTCTTTTAGCACATGACCGAAAAAGGTCAAGTGTATCTATCCTTCTTCCTAGGATTCCTTTGAGATCTGTCGAAATTGGTCCACCCTGAAAGGTTTTTCACATGAGGTCAAGGCGCAATCCAACTTAGGAAAATCAATGGGACGGATAATGGCGTTGCGGTTTTCTTCTACTAGAATCAGTGGCGGAGCTAGCTGAAAATCATTGGGGAGGCGAAACAAAA